GCCTTCCGCTCCTGCAGCAGCGGCGGCGCGCCGCGCCAGCACCTCGTTTCCCAGCCTGCTCCTGCAGGGGAAATGCGTAAACGGTCTTGGCAGGTTAAGGGAGGCGGGACGCCGTCAAACCCCAAAGGGTACCTGCAGCCTGTTGGGGACGAAAAGGGCCACGTCGGCGTCGGCGTCACGCTTTCGTTGGGGCCCCCGAGCGGCACACCGGTCTGGGATGCGCTCCTTAGGGCCCGCAGGTGAAGGTCTTTAAGGTCAGCCCAGCAGACTTCAGCCGCGTTTCTGGACTCCCAGAACCTCGTTGAATGCCTGTGACACCAGAGACCTTGCTAGTTGACCCTGCCCCCCACCTTTTTTTTTGTCCGTAGCTCCTCCTATAAGCAGATAGCCTAATGAGGTAATGGCATCAAGGAACTTGACTTTCAAAAACGAAGGTCTCCGTACAAGTATGTTTCCCTGGTTCTTTACCACGACTTAAGGTTGTTCTACAAATTAGAAAGTAAGTTTGTAAAGGCCTAAAGGCTAGCCCTTGATTCGTTTTGTAGCCTCAGGACCCGTGTTCAAACTTTTAAAATTTAAATCACAATCCATTGATAATGGCTGGTGATCACATAAGCAGTTTTTAACCGAATGAATGAGGCCCGTGGCTCGTCACGTGCCAGGGTCGAGCAGACAGTGTGGGTGGTAGTCCAGGTCTTGGCCACAAGCGCTTCGTTTCCCGATGACGGTACACTAGTGAAAGGACTCCACTGTCTGACAAGCTAGGTATGTGTGACCACATAATGTGTGACCTCAGAGTCAATTAAAGGAATGAATGATTTTAGAAGAGGAGCTGATACCAAGGGCTCAAGTCGAAAGAAAATGTTTTGGAAATGTGGATGGCAACATATGTACAAGGGTGCTTAATAATTGAACGATGGATTGTCATAAGTTTGTAAGAGCGCCCCCCCATAAAATGATTAATAGTAATTGAAAAATAAAGGAATGATTACATTCCTTTATTACCGTAGTAGTTACCGTAGTAGCCTACCCAGAATAAAAAACGCAAATGTTTCCCAAACACACCAAGCTCAAACTCACTGCCATCAGGTCAGTTCTGATTTATAAGGACCCTATAGGGCAGGGGGAGAACTGATCCTGTGGGTTTCCAAGACTATAACTCTTCATCTTCCTACTGCTGAAGAACTGGTGGCTTTGAACTGCTGACCTCAAAATTATCAGCCCCACGACTTACATACTGCACCACCAGAGACACACAAAATTTTGGAGGGATTTTAAAACTTCTTTGTCCCTAAACGGTTTAAAAAAAAAAAAAAAAGGACTCCTGGTGGTGCTGTTGGGTAAACGTTGGCCTGCTAAGTCTCAAAGTCAGCCCCAAACTGCTCAGATTAAGATTTACAGCTACAGAAACCCTATGTAAGGTCACCGAGTTAACGGGCTCCGTGGCATAGGGTTTTGAAGTGATATGAACAATGCTCTGCTACTAAGTAAAGATTGGTGGTTTGCACCCATCCAATGGTGCCAAGGAAGTTTGCCTGGCTATCTACTTCTGTACAAAATTGTAGCTGTCAAAACACAGCACAACAACAAAACCGTGGAGCCCTCTTCTACTCTGAACACATGGGGTCACCATGAATTGGAATCAAGGCTACAACTTTTGTTGTTGTTGTTGTTAGTCCCTGGAACTATCATCTCTGGTTTGGTGAGTTGATAACTCATAAAGAACATTCCTTCCTCTCTAGTTGTTGTTTCTGATCTGATGCCATCATCAGAGGCCACAAGGGGGTGCCATGGAGTCATTTTAAATTACTGTATTATTCCTGCATGACCTTGTCCAAAGAGAATGGTTACATTTTGGGATTAAATCATTAAGAGCTACTGTAAAACAGTTTGTATCCAGCAAAGACCCATTCTACCACCCACCCTTAGCCCATTAACTTTAAAAATTAAAGCAAAACTACCCATATTGTTTTGTAATTACTCAACGGAGTAAATTAGGACATTTCGATGGTTAGCTGTCAATTAACATAACAAATTGAAGACTTTAAATTTTTTTGGTTAACTGAAGTACAGTTCCTGTGGGAAACAGAACCGGGAAGAGAGTGTAACCGGACAGTTCTCTAATTTCATTCATGAAGGAGTCTGGGAGGCCAGGGCCCTTGTGGAGGGAGACCTTCACATCCAGAGGTGGGAGATGCATCCCACTCAGATCCTCCTAAGTAAAAGTTATTCCCCATAATGATGGCAATTTAAAGGTGCTACTTGCAAGCACGTGGCTGCTACTCTATATATGCTTGAAGGTCAACTGCTTGAAGACTACTTGCCTCCATCAAGAACAATCAGACCCTATTGTCTGTCCAACCCTAAGTAGAACCCACTCCCTTCTGATATGGTTCTTAGATTGTGCCCCGGGAGAAGCGCTCAGGCACCCAAGGTCAAGCCAGCTCACAGACGACTTAGGTTAGACTGTCATCTTAACTCCTGAGCCCACCCATCTTGTTACATATATACCTTCCTACCACATGTGTGGCTCTAGTGCCTCCGCTTCCCATTGCATGTATACCCCTAGCTTGTCCCCCTCCTGTTATGTGGATGCCTCCAAGACAGCCCCTTCCTGTGATATGTGTGATGTGGCTTGCATGCCCCAGACTATACAAGTTGATATTAAGAATACATCCTTAGCCATCTAGCTCAGAAGCAACAAAGCCCACATGGAAGAAGCAAACTAGCCTGTGTGACCACAAGGTGTCGAAGGGATCAGGTATCAAGCATCAAAGAACAAAAAATCATATCATTGTAAATAAGAAGGAGTGCAGAGTGGAGACCCAAAGCCCATCTGTAGGCAACTGAACACCCCCTTACTGACGGGTTGCAGGGAGGAGATGAGCCAGTCAGGTTGCAGGGAGGAGACTAGCCAGTCAGGGTGCAGGGTAGCAACAATGAAATATACAACTTTCCTCTACTTCTTAAATGCTTCCTCCCTCCCACTATCATGATCCCAATTCTACCTTACAAATCTGGCTAGGGACCAGAGGAGGTACAATGGTACAGATAGGAACTGGAAACACAGGGAATCCAGGACAGATGATCCCTTCAGGACCAGTGGTGTGAGTGGCGATACTGGGACTGTGGAGGGAAGGTGGGTTGCAAAGGGGGAACTGATGACAAGGATCTACATGTGACCTCCTCCCTGGGGGACAAACAACAGAAATGTGGGTGAAGGGAGATGTCGGACAGGGCAAGATATAACAAAATAATAATTTATAAATTATCGAGGGTTCATGAGGTAGGGGGAAGCAGGGAGGGAGGAGAAAAAAATGAGCTGATGCCAAGGGCTTAGGTGGAGAGCAAATGTTTTGAGAATGATGAGGGCAATGAATGTACAAATGTGCTTAAAAAGCGACACACAAAGAGAAACATGTAGTTCTCATCTCCTCCAAAATAAATTTCTGGATCAACTAAATGGTCCAAGTAAAAGAATTCAAACAGATCTTGCATAAAAATTATCTCAGCAAAAAAAAAATTATCTCAGCATAAGGCCAATAACCAAGCCTTAAAGGATATGATCGACAGACTTGATTTTAGAACAATTTAAAATGTTGATACGTTAACAAAATTAACAGGAAGCAAATTAGAAATATTTCCATATATCATGAACAAATATATATCACAGACAAAAAAGTAACATTTGAATTTTAAAAGATTAATAACTTGTAGTTAAATGGGCAAAAGACATCAATGGAAATTTTTTTAAAAATACAAATGACCAATAACAGAAAATTCTAAATTCATTCAGAGAATATGATTAAAATAGGATCCCATATTTTACTCATCAAATGGACAGCATTTTTTTTACCTTTTTAAAAAAAATCAATTTATTGGGGCTCATACAATTCATCACAATACATAGAGCAATTGTGTAAAGCACATCTATACATTTGTTGCCCTCATTATTCCCAAA